TACACATAAATCATCCCACGAAATGTTTTGAATGACTTACATACAGAAAGAATAAGTATTAGCCAGCTATTTACATTTAAAATGATCATGTTTCTCATGACCTCTACACATAAATCATCAGCTATTTACAGCTAATACTTCATTCTTTCTGTATGTAAGTCATTCAAACATTTCGTGGGGCTGTTTAAAATGATCATGTATGAGAAGCCTCTACACATTCAAACATTTCGTGGGATGATTTATGACTTACATACAGAAAGAATGAAGTATTAGCTGTAAATTGCTGTTTAAAATGATCATATATGAGAAGCATCTACACATAAATCATCCCACGAAATGTTTGAATGATTTACATACAGAAAGAATGAAGTATAAGCTGTAATTGAAACAATAATATTTTAGTTTTAAAAGGTGTTTCATGGGCGTAATAGATATCTGTAAGATGGATGTGACGGAGGTTTTAGAGGAAGACTAAAGGTATAATGATATCATAGCTATTAGTGGAGACACCAGTTTTTCACAGAGAGCGGTTTTAAGAAGACGTACGCATTATTAATGATTTAGTAACTTGAAATGAAAGTTTTTTGATATCTGAATAGACCAAAATAGAAAATGTATGCGATACGAACAAAAGTGGAAACAAATATCACGAGATTTAATTAGAATTGAAGTAATACAGTCTCTTTAAAATACTGCCATAAATTAAGACCCCCAATGGCTCAGTCTGTATGCTTATAATGCTAAAAAAAGTCGGGTTTCGAAACTTGTAGTGACAACAGCAGACAGCTCGACGTGTAGCTTTGTGCTTAACAACGATATATATATATATATCTTGCTGAATGAGTGTACACACCTGTTTTAATATTTTACTCAAACAGCTATAGAAAAACCTACAAAATATTTTAATATATTTTTAATAATTATGGTTAACTTTGCAAGATTGTTGAGTTATTTGTTAACAAAATTAAAGAAAATGTAGTAGAAATTCGATGACGAGGAACCCACTTTGAGACTAATAATGGCTGGAGACGGCTTGAATGGGTAATGAAGAAAAACTTTAATACAACAGCAAATGTACAAAGTTTCGACAAGGTTTTGTCATCATCAGGTAGAAATACTGTTATTATAGTCCAGCTGCAACTTGTGCTGACCGATCCTCGTAAAGGTTACGGTCGAAAATATCGAACACAAAGAGGTCACCCAACTGACGAATCAGTATATTCTAATGACCACAGGAGTTTGTGTCATGAATGTGTATATTAAATCAACTACATCATTCACTGGGTAAATTTGGTCAGAAGCTACTGATAATGTATTAGTGTATAATAGACAACCTTACTTGTTATATAATACAATATCTGGCAGCCATATTTGTTCAGCAGGGACGTATAACTGACGAACGCCTCCGTACTCCCTAGGATCCCACTTCAGTTTGTGATCAGACCATTCCTGAAAAAAATACACAATGTACTTGTATAGGATCCAGTGATCAGAACACTTCTAAAAATTCAAAAACATGGGTAGAGATCGTTGGAAGGACAAGTGGACGAATAAATGTATATTTAACGTGGGTGATTATTCTGAAAAATACAGAATACATAATCATGGACAGATGAGAAGGCTACTATTAAAATTAAATTATCATAAAAAGTCATTAAAATACAAAATACAGTTAATGTTTGTCAAGGAATGATAGTCGGGGCAACATATGAAATACAAGATACATGTTCTAGGAGAAATTATTACACCTGTGCTAGAAGTACATTATACAGTAAAAGCTTTGTTATCCGGCATCCATTTGAAGCTCTTGCAACCGTAAATTTCAATATCTCCAAATACAAACTTAATTACTTTAGTTAGCAAATAAGGTAGTGATAATACAGCGAAATGAATTTAGCTCTAACGTTAGGCTTAACAGTGTTGTCGATAGGCTATTTGTATTGAGCATTAATTCATAATTATTTATTCCCAGTCTGCAATAGTTAGTGTTAAGCGCTCACAGTTTGTTAGGTACGGTAGGTGCAAGGGGTGGGTTTTACTTGGAAATCCAAGGCTGACATGTACATTTAAGGAAGCTATTATTGAGGTTGTACGATTTTTATGTAGAGTTTGTAAGTTGGAGGAGAAACTGAAAGCTGTTCGTTCTATATTGGATGGAGGCTACGAAAAACGAGAAGGGTAAACTGTGGGAAATGGTAGGAGGATTTAAAGAGGAAATTAAGCTTTTGGTGCGAAGGATACAGTGGCTAATAATGTTTTGGAGATAGTTAAAAACAGTACTAATAGGGCTAACAGTAGAGGATTTAATTGTAATGAGCAGGTTCTATTAAGTAATAAAAGGTTTCAGCCTTTAGCCTGTGCTGATGATGAACTTGAGGAGAGAAGGATAACAAATGGGACAGATAGGGACGGGAATGAAAAACATAAGTAGGATATTGTTATAAGTGATTCTTTATTAGAATACATGGATAGGATAGTCTGTGGAGTAAATAGAAAGAAAATAATAATCTGCTATCTGTGGAGGATATGACCAACAGAGCAAGTGATATAATAAAGGGTGCTAGCATTGACGCAGTCTTCGTAGTGCACATAAGAGTTAATAATGCAGGGAAGAGTGGGTCAGAGGAGCTTATTTTAAATACAAGGCATTAATGGAGGCATTAAAGGAAGCCCATAACAACTTAATTCTGTCAGGGATACTATCAAGACATAACTGTGGGAATAGAATTATAAGTAGATTACTAGGGCTGAATTACAGGCTTAGGTTAAAATGTAAGGAGAGAGCAGGTTGGCTGGTCAGATTAGCGGAATCATTTCAGTAGGAAAAGGGAACTTTTTTGGAATGGATGACTTAAATTTAAATATGGTAAAAACTGGCTAGTTTGCAAGGTCTATTAACGCAACTGTAAGGGCAAATTTAAGCCATAAATAAACGTAGAGAGGGACATAATAATGAAGAAAAAATAAGATGTAGCGAGAGAGAAGTATATTATGAGAAGAAGAAACAAAGGTAGTTTTAATGGTAGGCTAAACTGTTATTATTTTAATGCTAGAAGTATAAGAAGTGAAATGGATGACTTTAGAGCAGAGAATTTTGATGTAATGGGAATAACTGAAACCTGGATAAATGTAGACAACTTTTATGACAGAAATTTCTTTGAAATGCAAGGTTATATGTTACTTAATAGGAATAGAGTACTTAAAAAGGGGAGGAGTGGATTTATATCATAAAATGTGAGTTACTGTTCAAACTGAGAATATAAAAGCTAATAGCAATGACGTTGAATCTATTTGGGTTTCTATTAGTGATTATAATGGTAGAAGGATTTTGGTGGGAATTTGTTACACATTGCCAGACGAAACTGTTGAAATTAATGAGAAACTCTACAGTGAGATAAAGTTTGTTTGTTTGTAATTCAGCACAAAGCTACACAATGGGCTATTTGTGCTCTGCCCACCACGGGTATTGAAACCCAAATTCTAGCATTGTAAGTCCGCAGACATACCGCTGTGCCACTGGGGGTGTGAGATAAAGAATTCAACTGTTAATAATATTATAATTATGGGAGACTTTAATTTTAGGAATATAGATTGGAAAATGTTGGTCAAATCATGAGAGAGACAGGTTTTAAGAAACTGTTCAGGATGGTTTTCTCAACAATTGATTAGGGAACCTATTGGGAAGAGCGCTATTTAAGATTTCTTGTTAGCTTCTAGTAAATAAATGGTTTATAGGGTAGAAATTGGAGAACATCTGGGTACAGGTGATCATTGCTTAATTAGATTTGATGATTTGCTGCATATTTAGATAAGAAATAATGAGAGTTTGGTTCCAAATTTCAAAAAAGCAAATTTTGAAGAGATAAGAGTTATCTGCTGTGAATTAGGCCTTTATGATGATAGTATAAATGGTTATCAGCGGGATCTTCAGCTGGATATGCTGTAGTTTACATTGCACTGATAGGTTAGAGCTTTTGTAAAATATGCAAGCACTTTTTCATTGTTTAATGTAACAGTATTCTCAATACTGTATAGCCATCTCTGCAGTTTTAATGTGGTGCAGTACTATGAAAGAAACCTTTTGTGAACTGTTCAAGATCTTCCCTCCAATACCTTTGTACAGTCGTAACAACACAGCAGTAAGCTCAGTTTTGGGAGACTTCTGATGTATGAACTGTTCAAGATCTTCCATCCAGTACCTATGTACAGCTTTAGCAATACAGCAGTAAGATGAATGTTAGAAGACTCTTGAAGTATAAACTGTTCAAGATATTCCCTCCAATACCTATCTACAGTCGTAATAACACAGCAGTAAGTTTAGTGTTAGAAGACTCCTGAAGTATGAACTGTTCAAGGTCTTCCCTCCAATACCTATGTACTGTTGTAACAACACAGCAGTAAGTTTAGTGTTAGAAGTCTCCTGAAGTATAAACTGTCTAAGGCCAAACAATTTTATTAGTAGTGTTCAGTAGAGTTTGTTGCCCGCCTAGTATAAAGAAAGTCTAGAGGAACATTCATGTCTTTCTGAAAGTCGAATATAAATTCGTTTATATTTAGCAGATTAGATACGATATGGATAGATTTCTGCATTCATAGAAATATTTTGGCACATGATCATTTCATTTTGGAGATGTTCTAAAATTCCATGTCTTATATTATGAAATGCATATAGGAAAACTTAAAGTAATAAAATCAAATTGCAATTAAGTATAAGCTTATAGATAGTAAAGAACTAAACTGAACTTACCTGATTTACCCACATATTTGTTGCCATGATTTGGTTCTTCATATTCTATAAAAAATTAAAACAATTAATTGTGTTGAATGAAAATGTAATTAGAAACGTTTTTTTTAATACAAGTCTTAGTACACCTAACATTGGGATATGATAATAATTCTCACTTCTCACCTGGTACGTTACCACGATTAATAACTATCATAAGAGATCTTTGTGTTGTACCTCATTTTATCATACTGCTGACAAACAGGCGAATTATTCTCCATTACAAACGCGCTTGCCCTCTGGCGACTCAGCTTGCGAACTTACAATGCTAAAAAATCGGGATTCGATACCCGCAAAGGGCACAGATTTCATATTTCATTTTTTTTTAATTCTATGCTTAAAAACAAACAAACAAATGCACTTTAGCCAGTTTACCAAATGAAAAAATCACAGAATAGCAAATGGAAAAATAAAAGAAAGTTACAGTTCCAAGGGTCGGAGCCCAAGGTTTCCAAAGTGTTTGTGCACCTTCTTCAATCCATAGCTGAATGTAGAGAAACAGGAATAGCGAGAGAGGAAGATAAAAGAAAACGAACAGGAAGATAAAAGAAAACGAACATAGACAAAAGAGTAATAGCATGAAAAATAAAAAAACTATGGACTATGGAGTAATGTGGAAAAAACTACGTTGATTAAATGGAAGATCTGTTCTTGAATCCGAATAGATGATTTAGCAATCTGTTGGCGAGAAAATGATGAAGAAAATAAGCTGGGTGGATGATTCTGTGGCGACACCTATAGGTCATATAAGAAGAGGGGAAACACAAAGAGAAAGAAAACTGAATAATAATAGAGAAATTAAAGTAAAAAATAATAATTACAAATAGCAAATAATAAAACTAATTTTGGAAAAACAAAACAGGAGAGTGCATACGGGGCCCTGAAGTGATGTTATTTTCAACCTGAACGGTACCTTATGCGACACAAGGGTTAGACAACCAGGTCAGATATTCCCAAGGTTCGTGCATAGTAATACCTCATTTAGTTTTGGTTCTGGTTGTAGTTAAGAACAAGGCTACACAATGGGCTATCTGTGCTCTGTCGACAACGGGTATCAAAAACCTAATTTATAATTACTGACCAGAGGGAGGACAACCAGTCAGTAGCTGCCCCCAGCTATGCAGCTACTCTTAACCTAATACTGGAATTAAGAGCCACAGTAACATAACAGAGCGTGTTAAACAGCTCGACCCTTGGATGTTCTAATCGGAAGTCACCAGACCATCCCAGGCCTTGTGAAAGCCCGAGATTGAAATGAACTATATTACAAAAGGTGTGAAAAACGAAGTAAAGTAAATCTGATATAGAACATAACTAAGAAAACTGCGAGAGAGAAGGCCTAGCAACAAAGAACCGAGTCGGAAAGACTAAAATGATGGTTGGAATTAGAGGGAAAAAAACAAGAAACGTTCAAACTAGACCTGGTTTGATCTATTCTAAACAATTACAATTAATTTCCTTCTACTAAATGAACAGTTAGAATGTTTGTACAACGGACGCACTAATCCAAACAAATATAGAGTTTGATATGTTAATTTTCTCTCTATTTCACTTTTAATAAATGCAATGTTGGCAGTGCTTTCACTCTTCGCATGCTCCTCTCCTGTCATGCTCAACTATTCATATCATAATTCACAACTGTATATTTTGCACGCACGTTTCCTGTTTCTCTTTACTCTCGAACCGCCACAGCATCTTGCTTTTACAAAATGCAAACCTGAACAAAACTAACCGTTAATGAGTGGAAACACTGCCACTTTCACCTGTTCACACTCATTGGAAGCCGTTATGTAAAACACTGCCACTTTCACCTGTTCACACTCATTGGAAGCCGTTATGTAAAACACAGCCACTTTCACCTGTTCACACTTATTGGAAGCCGTTATGTAAAACACTGCCACTTTCACCTGTTCACACTCATTGGAAGCCGTTATGTGAAACACAGCCACTTTCACCTGTTCACACTCATTGAAAGTTGTTATGTAATAGACTGATCTAATAACGTCATAATCATATTGTTCTTGTATTGATTTTATCGGCTGTGCCAATGGAACTTTTTTTTTCAGAATCTAAAGTTATGTTTACAGACTTCTAAGTCCTATTTTTATGGTCCCCCGGTGGGACAACGTTAAATTGAGGGAATTGTAATGCTAAAAACCGGGGTTCGATTCCCTGCGGTGGACACAGTAGACAGCCCAATGTGGCTTTGCTGTAAGATATACCAACCAATCCATTTTCATGTAGGTCGATAGCTATATGTTTCTATAGGTCGAATATTCCCGTTCACTCTATATCCATAGGACTATATCTTAGAAAAACAATTACCCAAAATAACTTCATAAAACACCCTATTTCTTAGAAATACTTAAAGCAAGAAGAAAACGTTTCACTGAGTTACTTTGCATTTTCAGGTGTGATTCACAACAAGAATGATACCATTTCTGCTCTATTAATTATGGTATTGGTTTGTACTAGACCCAAACCAAGTTTGTAAGACCATTTTATTAAGAATTTAATTTCCTCGAGGAATAATTGTTTCCATAGATTAAAATACTAACAGCATCAGTGAGAACAACGTTCGTATTAAAACATGTCTACTGTAAAGATGTGAATGTCTGGTTTCATGTTTCCGAAGTTTCTCAAAATACACACCGTATTACACTTAATTAAACAAAGCACAGAGCTGTTCACAGTACGGGATAAAAGAAAACTTTCTCTCAGTGGTTTTGATTAAACAATTATCCCTTATAATGGCTGGAGACGGCTTAAATGGGTAATGAAGAAAAACTTTAATATAAGTTTAACATGACAGCCATTATTAGTCTCAAAGTGGGTTCCTCGTCATCGAATTATCCCTTAGTATATTCAAATAACTGGAAAAATGGCGGTGAGAAAACAGCTTTCTAAATTAATTTCTTTTTCTTCAAATTATTAAAAACGTGTTAAAGAAATAATTGTTAGCCTGAGTAAACTTTTATCTTTTCCAAAATCTAATGTTCTAAGTAATGTGCGATACTTAGTTCGTGGTTTCTGGCGTGACAGACCACGATATAAGTAATTTACTATGTGAATTTTTCAAAAGGCTTATTTAATGAAGGAGTTTCAACCTCAGAAGTAGTGGCTTTTAAAAATGTTAAGGAAATTAATTAGAGAATTTAATCATAAATGTATTAAATGTGGAGCAGAAAACCCAAGTATGTTCCACCAAAGCCAAAATAGAGAGGTTAAAAAATAGACAGTACCTTTTGCTTTTCATACAGATATTAGTCAGACTGTTAGTATATTCAAGTTGGACGTGCTTTGTTTCTCTAATATGAAAACTAGTTCCAGGCTGTTTTCATTCTGTCAGTTGTTTAAGGATATATTTTCTGTTTGTTTTGAATTTCACGCAAAGCTGTTCACGAGGGAAGGTAGCTAGTCGACACCACCAACTGGGATACTCTGTTACTAACAAATAGTGGAATTGACCGTCACAATATAACGCCTCCACCAATGAAAAAGCGAACAAGTTCGGTGACGGTGATTCGAATCCAGGTATAGGTTATGAACCTCCATTTATAAAAATAAGACATAATAAGTATTGTTTCTTGGCGTTTATGTATAATGTTAAAATGTGTACATAATTAAAACATTTTTAACTATAGGCAATCTATGACCTCCAAAAAAGTTGACTGTATTTGTTTCGACGTTACGACGTCATAATCAGGAGTGAATTGCAAGACACGATAGTGTCAGATTCATACCTTTTTTTTAAGTAGGTCGTGTGACCCGTATATTGGTTACAATTCCTGTTTAACTTTTAGAGAGGAGGTCACACCACATTCTTGTACAGATATTTGAAGGACCTTCGTCTCTATTTAATCATACTTTTGGTTACAATTCCTGTTTAACTTTTAGAGAGGAGGTCACACCACATTCTTGTACAGATATTTGAAGGACCTTCGTCTCTATTTAATCATACTTTTGGTTACAATTCCTGTTTAACTTTTAGAGAGGAGGTCACACCACATTCTTGTACAGATATTTGAAGGACCTTCGTGGTTACAATTCCTGTTTAACTTTCAGAGAGAAGG